ACTACTAAGGAAAAGCAACAAGCAGAAGAGATTTGTTTGGGCCAAGAAACACAAGGAATGGAGATTAGACCAATGGAAATCTTTGCTTTGGCCTGATGAGTCCAAATTTGAGATCTTTGTTTCCACCTGGCATGTCTTTGTGCGACGCAGAAAAGGTGAACTGATGGTCTCTACATGCATGGTTCCCATCGTGAAGCATGGAGGGGGAGGTGTGATGGTGTGGGGGTGCTTTGCTGGTGATTTATTAAAAACTGAAGGCACACTGAACCAGCATGGCTACACCTCAAGGGTGTGTAAGGCTATTTGACCAATGAGGTGAGTGAGTGCTGGCCTCCACAGTGTGTTGTCTTCGTAGCGCTTGTTAAAAAGACCACAGGATCCACTTATGCCTTGCGAGCTACTGCTCCCATCACTTTATTGACACCATTCTAAAAAACCTCTCACACCACAGACCAGTCTTCTTTTAGTCTTCTTCACCTGACCTAAACCCAATCAAGATGGTTTGGGATGAGATGGACCACAGAGTGAAGGCAAAAGGGCCAACAAGTGCTCAGCATCTCTGGGATATTTATCTTTTTGGAGTCACGTCCTGCTGGCCATTAAATAGGATTTTAATCAAAGACACCACTGCATCCATCACTTATATACAGTCTGTGGTTTTATGTTATAATATCTTTATCCAAGTCAGTCTATACCTAAATTCCTCATAGTAATTCATATGACTATATATTAAAAGAAATTATAGAAAAATGTATCACACAGAATTAATTTTAGTTTAGTAACTGAGCTATGGCTAACTATTAATATATAGCTTTAAAAATTGGATATGTCAGTATTTATATAATAGCTAAATGGTTAGGTGTTATCTAACTAGTTTTTATGATTATGATAAAGCTTACCTTAAAATCTCAAAATGTCTACTTTTGGGAAAAGAAATTAAATAAATAAATCACTGAAACCTCCCAACGATAGCATACAAATGGCAGAGGGCAGGCACCGAATGTTGTAGCCACATGACGATTCAATAAAAATTATAATGAATATAGAAACTTGCAAAGAGATGATTTCAAATGAACAGAGTGATATCAAAATCTTAACAATGTTAACTACTGGCCAAAGCCGACACAAAGAAGAAAATACTGTTGCTAATTTCGGTCTGAAACTATTTAAAGGTTAAGTAAGAATAAATTGACGTGGCCCCAAATCATAAAATGTGTGATTAAAAACAAAAAAAACCAACAAAAAAAAAAAAACATTATAATGCACGGGAGGTGCAGAAGCCGAACAAAGAAAAGGAGATGATTATTTTTTGAAGTTCATTGAAAAGCAGCAGGCATGTTAAATTCTCCTTGAGGACAGCTCTTCAAAGTGAGAAGAAGCCTTTTAGAGCCAAACACGCAGCGAGAGTGAGTACTGAAAGAAAAAAAGAAAAGACAGCCGTGGATGAAATTTTAATGCGATACCTTTTGAATAATCTTGGTAATAATCACCTGTAGGTGCTAACCCCACAACGTGGTGCATGAATGTGACAGGATGCACAGCAAAACCCATCCTTAAAGGCACAGCTCCCAGCCTCAGCTGGTTTAAGCTGCTGTTTGGTGGTAATTAAGTATTTTATCAGCATTTAACAACAAGAGAGAACAACTTGAGCTTTCTGGTTTTGTTCTTTTGTCCTCTGACTGCTCTCCAGTTTTCTTACACTCTTACCCTGATTATGTTTCTCCTTCTTCCTCCCTTGTGACTTTGCTCCATCACTTTCCCATCTTCCCTCCGCTCAGACAGCAACTTCGTCCTGGGGAATGCTCAGGTCGAGTCTCTCTATCCCATTGTCTACTGCTCCGATGGCTTCTGCGAACTGACCGGCTTTGCCCGCGGCGAGCTGATGCAGAAGAGCTGCATGTGTCACTTTCTGTACGGGAGTGAGACCAGCAACCCTCTCACCACACAGATGCAAAAAGCTCTGGATGAACGCCGGGAGTTCAAGACTGAAATCATTCTGTACAAGAAGAGCGGTAAGACTCGGCTGCTGGAGCAGACTGACAAGTTAAATAGCGTTTAGTGCAGTATTTCTTCTTTCCAAACCAATATGTGTCTGTGTTCTGATCTCTTTTCCTTGAAAAGGCTCTAAGTTCTGGTGTCTGTTGGACATTGTTCCCATCAAGAACGAGAAGGGCGAGGTGGTTCTGTTCCTGGTCTCACATAAGGACATCACAGAAAACAAGGACCAGGACCATGGCAATGAATC